TCCTGCCCCAATGTTAGCATTAGCAGAGCATGCCGCGTGGTCAAAGGTAATGCTGCGTGCTTGCTGGAGCCATCGGATGTCTTCAGACATGCAGCGTTTGGTTGCAGATGTGCGCTTTCCATCAGAGTTGTGGGTTCAGCAACTAGTGGCCACACAAGAGTTGTCTAATTTTTCCCCACCTCCTCAGCTTCCCTTGAGCGCTGACCATGCAGCACACATTTCGCAGAGGCTCAGGGATTTTGCTCCTGCGTTGTTGCGTGAATTGCTTGACGAGGAGGCTAGAGCGGCTGAGGTTTTTGATCTAGAGCAAATGGTTTCGAGGTTGGATTTTTTTGCAAGCACTTTCAAAATCTCTGACAGCAAGAACAAAATCTTTGATGGGGAGACTCTTGTTGCTACGTGCGCAGCTGCAATGCAGCTCAAAAGCCGGGCAACACTCAGACAAAGCATCCAGCGAGTGTTTGATCAGGTTTTTCCGGGTTGCGAGGTAGCCCCGTCTTCCTGGTCAAAAGTTCCTTCACCAAGTACCATTTCTCGAGCGCAGCTTTTGCTTGATGCCGCGCTTTGTGGTGTAATGAGGGATCGCTTTGCAAGCTCACGCAGCTCTTTGTTCATGTTTGCAGACAGTTCACCCCAGGCAGGTCATGACTACTTGCTGTCAACATGTCTGATGATTTCAGCCGAGCGCTTAGAGAACTGTTACCTTGCCGCTCAAAGCCTAAGGGTTTCTTGGTCTGATTTCCTTTCTGCGTACAGGGATGAAGATGCAGATGCGATGCGTGACATCATTGCAAATCGTCAAGAATGCACCCTAGCTCTGACGGAAGGTCTAACTGTTCATCGCATGTTACCCATGGCGCTAGGATCTGGTGCCAGCAATCTTGATCACAAGAGCCGTGTGCTTGCCAGGGCATTTTTCGCTGAGACCCAGTCATTGCCCTTGTTACAGCAGACCTTGTCACGAGTGGTTTCCGTAACCACGGACATGGGCACAGAACTTGCTCTGGCAGACATGGCAGGCCCTCGCTTGCAGGAAGTTTTGCCATCTTGGTTAAACGAAGGGGGGTTAGAAGCAGATGTTGACGGTAACGGGGCCCCCCCAAACATTGCTGAGCTTGACTTGGGACAGGAATACTTCGCAGAGTATTTTCTTCCACGGGCGATCGCAGTTCCGGGACTCAATCATATCGTTGAGAACATGTGCTCGGATTGTAACCGTGCAATGGAAGGGTGGGACAGCTTTCTAACAAGCCTGAAGCCTCTGATTTCCATGTTGCACCATGACCACTTGCGCCAGAGATTTGTTGCATCGTGCATTCGCGGTACTGAGCATGCATGGATGGAGGGCCGTTTCCAGAATCGGCTACCAATGTATATTGAGTGGCGTTGGGGCAGTACTGTGCACACCCTAGAGCAGCTGATCCCACTTCAGAAGTTCTTGCAGGCGTCTTGGAACCCAGGCCTTTTCCAGGGAAGGGCCAACGCAGCAGATGAAGGTAACAATGAACGTGGCTTTGAAAGTGCCAAGGTGCCAGAAATCACAGCAGCAATTCGCAGCAACTGGTTTTGGGGTTATGGCAGCTTGGTTTTGATGATAAACAAAGTCAGTGCAGACTTCGCTTCGTGGGCAGAGGGGTGTCCATGTCATCCGTTCGCAGCGCATAAAAATTTGCCAGAGCCAGGGAAAAGTTTGGAGCAGGATGCTCTCATTGCGCTTGAGTCCTACTGCAAAGAGCTTGGTGTGCCGCGTGGCATTGATGGCAGGGGTTCTCGACCCTGCCCCCTAGCTGGGCTGAGAGCTGCTGATCTTGCGTGTGGGGCAGTTGAGCGGCAGATAGAAAAGGTGGCAAGCATGTGCAAAGAGGATCTTTTGGGGCAGCTACCAACTGTATCCGCAGAGGAGATGATGAAAATTCTAGAGAATTTTGAAAGCGCCAAAAGTCATATCCTAGCAACCGTTGCGAATAAACTCAAGTATTGGAAGATGATGCCTTGGCAGCTTGCTGCTTTGTGTGTGACAGATGAAAACCAAGCCCGGGAAACTGCCAGGACGATTCTGAATGATTTTGACTCTGCAGATCAAGACCCAAATTTGCATCATCGTTTGACTTGGTATTTGTTGAAAGTTTGCGGAAGCTTTCGCTCTGAGTTGGATTCTTTCGCGTCCGGCGAGCCTTTGAGTGAGCAGCCACAACTGAAGCGCATTGTCATGGAGATGGCATTCATTCCTGTTGCCAGGCCCTCAGTCCTCAACATGTTTTGCTCGAAGTCACAAATTTCGCAATTTTCTGGTAGTCTGGAAGTGTCTTCAATGGCAGACATTGAGTGCAGATCCAGGAGCTGCGTATCATGACGCATTGCTGCTTAAACTCCAAACCCTGCAACCCCCTTAAAGCCTTCAACCCTAAAGCCCTGAACACTAAAGTTCGGAAGCCCTCAACCGCAAAGCCTTCAAGCCTATAACCCTAAAGCCCCCAGCCCCGAAGCCCTCAGCTCCCAGGTCGAGCGTCGACAAGAGGGCGATCACGCCTTCATCCACAAAGGTGCCGTCCATCGCAAGGTCAGTGGGAGTTACGTGTCAATGTTGTTGAGAATGAGGGAGATAGTTAGTAACTTCGATGATAGGGATGATTTGTGGTGTTCCAAGTTTTTGTTGGAGTTTGCCGAGATTTCAAAGCCAGACATTATGGCAAGGCGTCTAGGTCTGTTCAATCACCCGCTTTTCCGGGAAGCTGTTCAGGAAGGCCGCAGGTTTCATGAAAAGCGAAAGCTGATCGGTTCTTTTCTGTGTGCCCATGATATTACTTCACAGCATGCCAAATTGAAATCCAACGAAAAAAAAACGTAATCAGAGGGCTGAGCTCCAGAAAAAGGCAGTTCAGGCGTGGAGAGACCGCATGGTGCCAAAGCAAAGGTTAAATGGTGATGTTGTGGAGCAGTCAGCTATCGCAGATCACTTGCGTGACTTCCTACAAGGGCAACCCAGCGTTGTGCTTTCCGTTCCGGCTGTCCATGCAACAGCTATGAAAAGCCTAGAGACTGCTTTGGTTCAGGATTCAGGTGCGTCGCAAGTGCAGGGACAGCCGCAGCTCGAAGCAGATGTTGATGACCTTGCCCCTGTGAACAGTTTAGAGCCGGTAAGGGACACGTTGTACTTTCGCGTGGTGCCACTGCGCATTGATCGCCAGAAGGTCGTTGCCATGCCTGCGTCCAGGGCTGCCAAGCTGAAGTCGCATGAGTTGTGTGTCACAAGGCATTCTGCCCACAGGTTTGGTGATGAGCACATCGTGTCTGTTGAGGCTGAGAAAGCCGTGGCTGCTCAGAATCCTGTTTCTGTGTTGTCTTTGTGGAATGTTGAGCTTGCAAGTATGTTATTCCTGCGATCAGTGATCAGGCAGCCCAAGACACAGCAGGTGCAGTGTGCAAGTTGATGGCTGCCCGGGCTTTTCCGGGTAGAGAGCAGGTGCTTCAGGTTGCATCGTCGGACACCGAGACCATTCGGCAGTTGCAAATGTTGCTTGACTTGCGTGTGGTGACAAAAGTTGAGAACCGTGATGATTGTTGCGTGTGGAGCTTTACGGAGTTTGGGGCTTCCCAACTTCGCGTGGCCAGTGAGCTCCAGAAACCTGAGAATGTCTTCGCAGCCTTGTCAGACTTTTCTTTGCCCAGCTTGGAGGATGCGTCGACTTGGCAGCTTGTAGCTGCGCTCAAGGCCAAAGGTTTCCAGGTTCGTCAGAAGCCCAAGAAAAAAACAGATGTTGAGAGGTTGCCGCCCCACACGGCGGAGAGCGTAAATCTTGTCTGGTACGTGTCCAGTGCCAGTGTGCAGCTCCTTCGCCCATACATGATTGCTCTTTTGCGTGCTGAGTCTTTGTTTGCCGAAGGTGTGCTCTTGAAACTTCACCATTGTCAGCTCAAGGCATACTACGCGAAGGTCTTGGAAGGTCATCACAGTGGAAGTCCACTGCAAGCCCTTGCAGATGATGTTCGGCCAGCTTTGGAACTTGATGTTGAGCGTGCGGTTGCAGTGCAAGTGGAACCAGAACTGCCAGCCATAGCTGATACAGCTGCAGGCCGCCCAAAGAAGCGTGCGCGTCAAGGCGACAGGCAACCTGTTCAACCTGTGCCAGAGCAGCCAGAGCAAGAAGGTCAAGAAGCAGAGCTTGATGTTGATGCAGTTGATGCAGCAAACAGCTCGGACAGTGGTTTGGCTTCCGAGACAGTGTCCTCGCCTCTCAACTTTCTGTCGGAAGCTGACTCTGATGATGCCAGGGAGCCAGACCCTGAAGTTGTCGATCATGCAGAGCCCGCTAGCCCTGCAGCAACTGTGTTCTATGACCTTGATGCTGGTGAGGCCGGTGAGGCGTCTGTTGATGAGAGTGAACCAGTGCATGAGCGTGTGCCTGCCGCAGCCACCTTGTCCGATGCTGTTGCCGAGACGCCTGTTGCCATTGCTGGCATTACTGCAGCTGCAGCCAGCCCCGATGCACTTGAAGCCCATGACCCGGTTGTTGCAGTTGGGCCCGCTGAGCTTGATTCAGGTCCTGTCGGAGCTGCTGATGTGCCGCCCCCGTCGCCTGCTGAAGGCGCAGCCCGACGTCATCCTCAGGTCCATGCTGATTCCTTTATGTGGAGGCCTTTTCGCTTCACATGGAGCAGCCCAGCGAAACGCCCAAAGTTCGGCAGCTGGCAAGCCACCTGCCCTTACCATAAAGCATCAGCGGCCACTGGCTGTAAGAAAGCCATTGGATTGCGTAATTCCACGGAGGACGAGAGAGTTTTGTGCCGTGATCTCTTGAAAGTCTGGTGCTTGTCGGCCGCCTCCCACGACAGACAACGCAGTCACAAGCAAGTGGAGCCTAGACATGTTGAACTGCTTGACAACAGGGTGTTGGAAGCTCGGCTTGCTGGGTAGCCAGCTCCACCTGCTGCACATTTGCTGGAAACTGATGAGGTTTTGGATGCCAGGGCAGCAGCAGCGCCAAAAGGCAAAGCGCGTGCCAAGGCCAAAGCAAAATCCACTCCAAAAAGTAAAGGTAAAGCCCGACCTAAGCCTGCCCCCTCTCCCAAGGCGGTAGCTAAGGTATCCCCGAAAAGCCCAAGTGATGAAGCCGCTTCAGATCCTCCATCAAGCAGCAAATCCAGCTCGTCTGGCTCCTTTGGGCCTGCTGAGGGAGAATCTTCTTCCTCTTCCAGCAGTGACAGCAGTTCGTGATTGCAACTTTGGCCACAGCCCCTGCACATGCCTTGCCCAGAGTGCACAGACAGCAAGTGGACTAAGCTTTGCCGCAAAATGATTCGATTGTGATTTTCTGCGTGCTTTGCTGACATTTTGTGCATGTGACCTCATTTCCTGGCAAATCAGGTTAAGGCATGTAGGGTCAGGTCAGGGTCCGCCATGGTCGGTTCAGGCATGCCTGGGACATGCTGAGGTTCGTTCGGGCAGCGTTCGGGCACGTTCGGGCACGTTCGGGCACGTTCGGGCGTCGTTCGGGCACGTTCGGGCACGTTCGGGCACGTTCGGGCACGTTCGGGCAGCGTTCGGGCACGTTCGGGCACGTTCGGGCGCGTTCGGGCGTGGCGTTCGGGCAGGGTTCGGGCACGTTCGGGCGCGTTCGGGCGCCGTTCGGGCAGCGTTCGGGCACGTTCGGGCGCGTTCGGGCGCGTTCGGGCAAGCGGGGTTTTCATGGTTTCCTACGCGCGAATTCGAAAATACGAGAAACAAGGCTTTATGCCTGTTTTGTCCGCTTTTGGTAGTCCAGAGGTGTTTTGGCGCTGTTTTGCACGTTCGCTTGTCCCCAGGCGCAATCTGCTCTGTCTTGCAGAGAGTTCTGAGCAGTTTCCACGCTTTCAGTGCATTGTAAAGCCAAGTAGGCCAGAGGCAGTGCATTCTGAGTGTTGCAAGCATGATTTGGGCATGTCCGTGAGTTCGCTGAGCCTTTCGGCGCAGGGTGTTTTTTTCGCAAAGGTTGTTGTGGGCCGGGCGCCCCGGCTGAATGGCTGCCTTGGCTTTGCAGTCAGATCTTGGGGACGATGTCAGGGGTTTGGCGTCAGCAGAAGCTGGCGATGATGAGGATGTGCCAAGGACACCTCCTCCGAAAAAAAGGCGAGGCAAAGGCGCCCGCAAAAGCGGCAAAAAGCCTTCCAATCCCAAGCATCGACCAGCTACTTTGAAATGCCGTGATTGCAACAAGGTCAAGCCATCCGCAGAGTTCTATGAAGATCAGAGGGTCTGCAAAATCTGCAATTCCGGCAAGAGAGCATTGCTCACCACAGCTAGTGCACAAGGTTGCAGAGAAGCTGTGCAGGCCTTCGCAAAGAAGAATCCGGAAGCTTTCGATTCCATGCAGAAAGCTCACAACAAGGCCCGCGCAGAGCAGGCGAGAGAGCAAGGCAAAGTCAAGTTTTCTTGCGCTGTTTTCATGCGTGAATGGGAGAAGCGTGAAGGGTTCAGAGATGCACAGCTAGGAGAGTACATGTGGGAACAAGAATTCTATGAGTTTGCTGCCGGAGCTAAACTTGGATTCTTGAGCAAGCCTGAGCGCGAGCAGAGATGGCTTGACATGAAAGCCGAAGAGTGGCGCCCCAGGGACCATGAAGGTCCACGTGGCTTCCTGCGGTTGTGGGTGAAGACGAAAGATCAGGCGGAGCTGTACAATGACGTGAGCTCCGCCAAGCGCCTGCAATTGCAAGAACTTGCCAGGAAGCCCTCCGAGAAGCATGTGCAATCTCGCGTCCAGATGGCTTTTGGGGACACGGTAGATGACAAGCTAGATGCTAACGTTGACTTTGCGGGTGTGAAGTCTGAGGCAATGAAGGCCTCCGGCACAGGTGGCAACATGGCAGGCCTCATGATGCCGCTCGTGAGCGACCTGATGGAGACTGCGAGCGCCCAATGCGCCCTCAAATCAAAGGGCCGTTCAGCAAGGGCTCAGAAGAAGAAGGGGAGCGATGCAGAAGAAAGTGATGATGATGATGATGAGGCTACTGATTCGGAGGAGGAGGGCGAGGATGAGGGTAGCCAATCTTCGGAAGGAGCCCGGGGCGAAAAGCGCAAAGCCGGCAAGATGAGCAAGAAAGCTAAAGGCTCAGGCAAAGGGCAGGCGAGTTGGTACGACGCGGAGACCCAGAACCTGAAAGCCGAGAGGGCCTTCGGCAGCAGCATCGAGACCTTGAAGGGCCAGATGGTTGAGGTCGCCGACAGCATGTCCAAAGCCGTGACAGAGTTCCGCTCAGTCCCCACCGACGCCCAGGCATGCCTCTGCAGCAGTACCCTAAACCTCAAGCTTTCACACATGTACCCCAAAGATCAATTTCAGGTTTTCGCGCATGTGCCCCAAACATCCCCAGACTGATCCCAACCCTAATTTTTCGCACAGACATGTTGTGTTGTGCTTGAGTGTGTTGGCAGGCCTTCCAGGACGAGATTGCGGTGGTCATGCGACGACAAGAATGGCTTGTTGCTGTCAAGGACAGCAATAACGCGAAGCTGTCAGAGCTCCTCTCCTCAGCAACCGAGCCAAATGATGATGGCATGAGCGCCGCTGCTTCCCGCGACGCAACAGCTTTGGCACGGGCGGGGCCTTGCGCAGGGTTCCAGAGCCTCAAGGTGCTGCAGGAGCTCAGCAACCAGGCTGTGAAGTTCAGGGGTTGTGCAAGCAGAGAAGAAGTGAAGTCTGTGAACGAGAAGCTTCAAACTGAGAAGAAGGTGTACAACACTTTGCTCAGCTGCTGCAAAACAGCAGTCTCCGAGCTGCGTGCGTCCAAAGCGCGTGGCGTGGCAGCTGCAGAGGCAGCCAAAAAGAAGCGGACTCGGCAGGAGGAAGCGGATGCCAAGAAGGACGCCAAGAAGAAGAAGAATGGGCAGCAACAACAGAACAGCCGTGCGTCTGTGGGGTCACATGTGATCTTTCAGCTTGAGGAGTCAGAGTGCTCCAGCATTCCATCCTCGCCGACGTGGATCCCAGCCTTCACCTTGGAGCGCCCGAAGCCTTTCCTGATCACAGGCATAGCGGACATTGTGGGCGAGCAGGCTGGCAAGGAGAAGTTTGACCTGGTGCTGAAAGACTTCAGCAAGGCGTTCAACGAGAGCTCTTTGAAGGCTTGCCAGCTTGCCCATTGTCCCCTTGAATTGCACATGCGTTTGTTTGGCTTTACCTAGGGGCATTTCGTTGAGTTCACATGCAGTTGGGCCTAGGGGGCTTTAAAATCCTGGATGTTATGGATTTCGCGCTGTAGTGCAAGCTAGGGCTCAAAAATGATGCAGGTCACCGAGGGCCGCGCGTCCCAGCCGATTGATGCAGACCTTGGCAAGCTCATTTGGGAGCGCCTGAAGTCTATGGCCCCTGATGAGGAGATGAAGCGCACCATTCATATGGCTTCAGAAAAACCAATGCCAGCTGCTTTGCAGAAAGCTCTTGCTGTGAATCTGTACGGATTCGCCGCAGGACATGTGTCTGTGGCCAAATCCGAAATGCATCAATTTTCGTGTTTCCGGTGGTCGATGCAAGGCACACGCTCAGTCGGGATCCTTTCCTACAAGGAAGCACGAACCTTTCTGGGGCAAGGCAAGACCATGTCTTTCCAGGAGATGCTCTCATGGGGGACATCAGCGTCTTTGAAGGAGTGGCGAGAGTTGCTGGCTGCTTGCCCTGCCGCTTTGTTCACAGGAACAGTTGGACCACATGATCTCTCTTTGTGCCCAGCGCCTCCATCGTCTTTCACAGAGCTTTCCCAGACAGCGACACTCTGGGGGTCCGTGCAGGATTTCTGAGCAAGTCCGATGCCGTGTTGCTGCCGCAAGTTCGTGCTGACTTTGAAGTGCAGAACAGCAAGGTAGAGGTGTTGGACTTGGCTTGTGCCCTGCTGTCTGAGTATTTCAAGCCAAAGGAAGAGGAGGAGAAAGCAGCTCAGGATGCAGAGTTGCAAAGGAGGAAGGAGCAAGAAGCCCAAAAGAAAAAGGAGGAAGATGAGAAAGCGGCGCAGGAGGAGTTGCAAAGAAAGAAGAATGAGGAAGAGGAGAGAGCGGCTCAGGAGGAGTTGCAAAGAAAGAAGGAGCAGGAAGAGAAAGCGGCTCAGGAGGAGTTGCAAAGGAAGAGGGAGGAGGAGAAAGCGGCTCAGGAAGAGTGGCAAAGGAAGAAGGAGCAGGAAGCGAAAGCGGCGCAGGAGGAGTTGCAAAGGAAGAAGAAGCAGGAAGAGGAGAGAGCGGCTCAGGAGGAGTTGCAAAGGAAGAAGAAG